AAACAATATTTGTCCACTATTCCCATCTAATTAATATTATATGAAGAAAGTTGCATGGAGATATATTTCAAATTGATTCTATTATAGATTTTTTTAATCTTATCCATGTATTGAAATTTAAATATCTTAGTTTGCCAAATTGAACATATACTGATTTTGCAGGAGAAAAATTAAAGAATTAATATACATGATAAAATACATTTAGGTATATCCATAGATTATAAATTTTTATTAGTCTTAGCTAGGGGATTTGAAAATTTTATCAATCATTTTCTATAACAACTAATGCGATATATTTAGTTGGTTTTTAAGCCAATCTTCTAATTTTTAATGCAATTCCCCTTAATTTTACATATAATTTTTGATGATAGAAGTATTAAAATTTTATAATAAAAATAATTAGGAGTTCCCATAATATTTTTTTGGGGTATTTATTTATTCATCAAACTATTTTTTAATCCAAAAACCCTAAAAATTATAAATATTTAGGTTCAATTTAGAGAAATGAATCAAAAATTCTAACACATAAATAAGAATCTATTCAACTGAAAGCTACTCGTCATATTAAAATTATACATCAAATAAAAGGTATCATATAAATTCCTAATATTGATTTCTATTTTCGGCAATAGTAAAATTATTCATAAAATTCGCATTATATAAATTATTGATAACTCATATGGATTGTGGAGTTTGTTTAGAGAAGGTATTACTGCGGTTTTTGTCCTCAAATCTGTCAATTATGTGATGCATACAGAAATCATTTTGTATAATTAGACCATTTAATTGTAAGGTTTGTACAAATGGATATTATATTCATCAGAATGATATAATTATGACTTAAAGTATTAAAGGAAATATAATGCAGAAGACCCACATCATGGGATTACCATCACATTCTGTATATATTTTCTTTAGGTTGTTTATTTATTTATTCAATTGAAAACTGCAAACAAATATAAAAACAACCAAAAGTTATTCTTAATAATATTCTGATAGAGCAAGAATTAGTATCAAATAATAAATCACCATACAAATAATATACAATAAGTTTTGAATAGTTTGGACTAAATAATGAACTAGTTAAAGTTTATTGTGGATTCATTTTAAAGATGTCATTTAATTTTGTAACACTTGCATTTGATATTGTTTAATTTGCAATTATTTTTCAAAATTGAATATTTGGAAGAACATGTAGATGCCCAAAAGGATTATTTTATAAAGCAGCGATCATTCAGGTTTCAAGTTTCGTTAATCACTTTAGACCATTTTCAAAGAAGATTAGGCAATTATTAAACTTTTAATACTTCTTTCAACAGAATAAAATAAGGATTATAATGTGTATATACACATGTTTATTATGAATTAATAATTTATGTGCAATTAATTAGATTATTATAAATTTAGATTGTCCAGATACAAAAGATGTTATGTAAAGTTCATGTTATAAATTATAAACTAATAGTGAATAATTATGGCATATAAATACATGAAATTCTATTTAATTTAGACTTCATCTTATATTTGGCATTTTTATTGTAAGTATTTATGTTAACCTTCATATAAATAATGTATTCAGAAGGAAATTTATTAGTTAGTTAAGTTTTCCTGCTTGATAATTTATGATTATGATCCTTATTCAAGATGTAATTCTTAATTTTTGAGCTGTAGTAAACTTAAATCTATTTCGTTTAATTATATTGGAGGATAAGCTTGTTCAGTAAGTAAGAGTAGATTTGAAAATATTAATAATTCTTGGCATTCTATTCTTGGATATAAATTAGTTGTAACTGATAAATAATTTGATGATGGCAATTTAATATCTAAGAATGATGATGTATGTATGTCCATATATTTGTCTTTACACAGTTTGTTTTGAAGAGTTGAAAAAAAACTTAAATTTTAATATGGAAATAAAAGTTTTAACCTTGGTATGGATTATTAATATAAAACTATTAATTTTTAATTTCAGATCTAAGCATAGCCTAGACCTTTGAAGCCAAATTTGATTAAACTAATAGAATTCAAAAAAGAACTTCAGTTTTATTAATAAGTTTTTAATCAGATTGGCCTAGATGAGGCAATTATGAATACTGTTTCTTCTGATATAACCCTAGAAATCACTTTCCAATGTTATTAGAGATTGAATGTATTATGATAATGATATAACAATATATTTTCTTGATTATTAGTTCCTTTCTTCTAATAAGATTAAATAAACAGGCTTTTAACATTTACTCTTTCGTTAAAAAACGAAAGTTGATGAATGAAGAAATATTAATCAAAATTATCTATAACATTTTAATGCATAAAAAAAA